CGACATCGCTCGCCCGATATCGATCTCTGTGTGTGTGTGTGTGTGTTCCTGCCCTTTTCTGCATGCGTCAATCGCATCCAATCCAAGGCGATGTTTATAAATCACAAAGACATAAATTAACCTGTGTACTGTATACAGAGACCGGGGTATGGTGTGTTTGATTCCAGTATAGCCTTTTTCTTTTTCATTGATGTGGCTCTAGCCAGCGTTCTTGCTATATGTTCTGAAATTATGCATCGCATCTTCCCTTTTATATTAAATAGTAAAGGAACTTGATTAGGAAGAACCAACTAGTTAGCAGTGAACTATTAAATGATGTGTTATTCTGTTGTGCATTGTTAATTTGCTTGCCTGTAATTGTAAAAATAGAATTTCCTGGTTCGTAGAGTCATCAAAATTTAGCTATGCATATGGAGCAGTATAGAGGGCAATTATTAGAGATATCTTTCATTTTTTTTATATTATAGTCTACTCCCTCCGTTTCACAATGTAAGTTATTCTAGCATTTCCCATATTCATATTGATGCTAATGAATCTAGACATATATATTTATCTAGATTTATTAGCATCAATATGAATGTGGAAATTAATAGAATGACTTATATTGTGAAACGGATAAAGTAGTAATTATGTGCTCTCTTCAACAGATTCATTCATCCCTATCCTTGGACGATCTGGAATCTGGATGTTCCACTAGTGGCACCTTCCCACGTCCTCGTTGTCACACGCCTTCATCAGCTGCTCGTGCCGAACTGTTCGATTCAACATAACTGCCAGCTGGCGAACCTAGGTTTTGCACTATTCGTTTATGATCTGGTCTCAGTTATAAGTTCTTAGATTGAGGTTGCAATTCTTCTTCTGGCGTGCTAATATATCGGTTGATTATTGCTCCCGTGCTTTTGATCTCTTTGTGGGTAACTTCATCTATACTTATTCGGTGCCCTGGATTGTCTTCTTCAAAGAAAAAAATGCAACTGGGGATGAAAAGCACAAATTTGATGACTTACAGGAATGCCATATCCAGGGATGGTCTACTTAATTGATATAAAGCAAGGCAAAGTAAACGAATGAACAAATGTATTTGTTTTATCTTTTGTCTTTGTGTTAGAACTTAACTAGGTTCCTTGGAATTGTACCTCTGTTGACTATTGATTGGCGTAGTGACTTCCATATCTCTCAGACAGTGTCTTGTTATGACGGCAATCGAAGTTTTTTTTTTTTTCTGTTTCGTCACCTTGCACCTTCAATTTCATCAATGTTTTGACGTTTTTGGATATTTGTTGTAGCTTCAGTGTTAGTCAAGTTCATAGGTTCTTTTTGTTTAAGGTTAAGTGGTTACCTGTACTTCACTTTTGTAGCCTAGTTACCTTTGGACTTCTCCATAATGATGTTCTGCTTTTCATATATACACATGCAGTCGTGTGTAGTCAGTTTTATCTGTAACTATCTCCAAAAGAGTCCTTCTAAACATATCAAGGAATAAGTTTCACCAATTTGCCGAGTTGCTTTTGCGACCATAATGCCTACTAATGGTGACTCACTATTACAATTTTATTCTCTGTGGTCCAGGGTTGGAAAGATGACAGATAATCTAACAGGTGATTGCTCAACAAGCTCAAAGAAAAGGAAGAAAGCTTGCAAAAGTTGAGGAGAGACAGGTGAGTAATAGGTTTGATTTTCTTAACATACTTACACATCTTCGTCATAACAATCACAATAATATTGTGCAATGCTTCCTCATCTAGGAAAGTTGCATGTGGATAACATTTTTGAAGAGGAGTTTGGCAGCTTAAAGAATTCTGGTGAAGGAGCATGGAGTGAACTGAGTAAAGTGGCTGTGTCAAACTTATCTGAAAGTGTTGTCTCGCTGGTTTCATTCAATGGTGATTATGCACGTTGGCTTTTAAAGTTTGTATCGAGTCATCACTCTTAATGATGGAAATCATGATTTTGTGCAGGGGGTATGATGTATTCTGCATGCACAGGCATAGTTATCAAAAGTGATTTACATGGCATAAGTTACCTGACTTCAGCTAGCCTGATTAGATCTTTGGATGATGAAAGCAAAATCATGCCATATGTTTGTATAGCTCCTATTGTACATTTTTGTTTGCATAGCTCTTTCACATTCATGCATAAGGTCTCTCACCCTGGATGGCTAGCTAGTCCCCGGGGGTGTTCTGGTCGCGTGCCACCTTTATAGGGGGAGTGTTCTGGGAGGGTCCTTCGGATCCCTCCGTTGTATATATTTCTTTCTTAATGACATGAAGCACAGACCTGTTTTTTCGAGAAAATAAGCATTCAATGCATATATCTTGGAAAGACATTTTGGTCCAATTTGACCGATCTGCTGGTCACTGGTTATTGTTTGTGGTGCCTGGTAAAAGATATTGAGGCCAAAAGATAAAATGTATGATTGTATGCCTAATTTGAATAGTGGATTCAGAGGGAAGTGAAACATAGGCACATAGTGCTCAACTGCTATGACAGAGGCTATATATCCATGGCTGCGTGCTTGCGGGGGTGTTAGGGATCCTCACCACTTTATTTTTTTCTTGAAGTGTTACTCCAATATGCAGTTTTCCAAAAAGTAAATCTCAGGTTGCATAAGTGGGGAGACTAACCCACAACCTACACTGCTAACTGTATCTGTGTTATGAAACTTTGAATGACATCACTGACCATATCAGCTACAAAAAGAATATAAAATGCTAATTGTCCTTATCAATTCCACCTTTTCTTTGGTAACTACTCTTGATGAATTTACTATGTACTGCAGGGGTGAGATTATACCACTTGATAGCACAATTGGAAGGAGCACAAATGAGATACAAGAATCTCCTGCAACTCCCAATGAGCAGAAGATGAAGTCAGAAGATGAAGTCATCTTCTTCTAGTAATTCAGAAGGTAAATCGGGCTAGGTCACTTCTAATGTTAATTATCATGCAAAAGTTGTCATCATGTTTTAATGTTAATTATTGATCATTACTAACACATGGTCATTAATCGCTTTACCTTGTTTCTCTAGATTACGATCCTGAGAATGATCCATTTTTTCTGGAGGAGACCCCTTTCTTCCCGGTTGCTGATGGTGATGGTGAGTCATTGCTTTTAATTTTGCTGTCATTGTTAACACATGATGATTAATCGCTTCAGTTTTTTCACCAGGATTTGGGAAATTTTTAATTAAGGAACTAACGTCTCAAGGTTATCCTTTGCCAGCTATCATTGATGGTGAGTTTGTTGCTGACTACTCTCTTCCATTGCACATTTTGACAGTTGTATTTCAGCACTCTCATATGTGGTACTACTTTTCTTTAAACAGGAGGCATGCATTTGGTTAATACTTTTGAAAATGAATTTGTTGATGATATCTGGAGTAAACTCACCAAAAAAGTTGCTTCAAACGTGTCTCGTGTTGTTGTCTCTCTTGCTTCATTCAAAGGTAATCGCATTGTTATAATCTCATTGCATTTTCATTTCTTTTTTATAGATCATCACTATTCACTAACTATGATTCATTATGATCTTGTAGGAGAAGAACGGATTTTTGCTTGCACAGGAATATTTATAGGCTGCAGTGAATCCAACACAAGGATCCTGACTTCAGCAAGTTTGGTTAGGATTTCTGATGATGAAAACAGGATTAATGATAACTTGAAGGTTGGTATTGTATTGTCCTCCTTGAGCTTATTCATTTGAGATACCGGTAAATCCTCATATTACTTCTGCAGATTGTTGTACACCTTCCAAACAAACAACAAACTGTAGGGACATTGCAACATTATCATCTGCATTACAATGTTGCTATTGTCAGCATCAAAGGTTTCCGTTGTCTTCGTACGGAAGAATTTCATGATCCAGGGCAAATTAAGTGTAAGAAGGTATTATCTGTGGGACGTGTCTTCAAGTCAGGCAAATTAATGGCCACAGGTGGGATATTGACGGACAAACCAAGCAAACTTGACTGCAAAGAACTTATGGTCTCCACTTGTAGAATCACTAAGGTACAGTGAATCTCCAAATTGAAGTCTTGCTTTTCCTCGCAAAAGAAAGGCTTTAATTTTCTTATATTGGAAATAATTTGTTGCCTTACAATATGAACAAGAGCAATTTAATATAACACTACCAAACATTGCCATGTCTGCTTACCAAACCTAGCCAAAGGGCCCGTCTAATAAATTGATGGCCATACCTTAGGCAAGATTTGGGAAATAAATGAGTGCATGACATATGTTTCCTAGGATTAAAAGAACGGAAATGAAACAACTGTTTTACGAAGTGTGGAAAGATTGGCAAAGTGTGAAACGCTCCTGCTTCTGCGGAACTACGTGTGTAATCCTTTGTTTTTGTGCTAGGCTGGGATTGGAGGGCCCCTGATTGATTTTGATGGGAATTTCGTTGGTATGGTAGGAAGGAGACTCCGTATTTACCAAGGGATACAATTCTGAAATTATTGAGCTATTTTGATGGAGAAGGGTATGTCTTCTATGTTTATATGTATACCTGTGTTTTCAACTTTTCTATGTCTTGTTATTTAGTTTCCTTCAAATTTTCAACTTTTCTGTGTCTTGTTGTAGGGATGTCTCTGCTGAGATCATGGACAGAAACAACAGATGCCCTGTGCCCAAGATACGTTGGCATTATCCTCACTTCTGCAAGCCACGCAAGTCAGAGAAGTGTGGTTAATATGAAAAGTACTAGATGAGACCCCTGCGTGTTGCAGCGGGAAATCTTGTGTATAATATTAAAATTTGTAAATTGATTATGGTAAACATATTAGTAAAATATTGAAACTGATTAACAAAGGAACTTGATTGCTATCATACAAAAGACTGACCAATCGAACGAAAGAGTCATGCTCCCTAAGACATTTTGAATGGGCCTAGCCATCAGATTTTGATCTAACAGACAGGGAGTCTTATCGGAGAGGGAGTAGGTAACCGAGATATCTTCTGATGAGAATAAGCAAATCCCTATTTTTTTTGTTGAAGAAAAGAAAAGCGTGTCCACGTGGACTGGACTCTGAAATTTTCCTCCTCCCTTCTGGAGTCTTCCTCATCAGAAATCAGAAGAGGAGAGGGTGGGCAACTCGCAGATCGCCTTCTCGTCGCGCTCGCGCCGCAGGGGTCGCCTGAGGTATGCAGCTTCACCTCCCCCAACTTTCTAGGGTTCTAATCGCCTCTGCTCGCTCGGATTATGCGTGGTGGGTATGGCTCCGATTCCGCCGGAGTAGCTGGATCTGTGTGCCCCGTGCTAATTTAGGTTTGGCTTTCGATTCGGCCGCGCTTCGGTTTGTTCTCGCGCGTGATTGCTTCGTTCGGCCATAGGGCTCATCTCAGGCTCGACATGTGGACGGCCACAAACATAAAAAATCCTTGTTAAATTTACGGTTCATGTGGTAGGGGGGCTTTTCAGGATCGGAGGTTTAGGTGATTTGGAGTAGCAAAACGATTTTGCTGTGTTAGAGAATTCGAGAATCTGTGCCGTCAGATGCTAATTAGCTGGTTTTGAACAAATGTTAAGACATCCTGATATTATTTGCTGCGTTTAATGTTCAAACTTTTTGCACGGGTGTTGCTGAGCTATAAAGGATATGAGGATATAGTACCAAGTTCTATCGTTTTGTTCTGATACATACAATTTGCTGTAGTTTATGGCACCATCATACTGAGATATATATACCTGTGCACCTTTCGGCTTCTGTGCAGAACACATAGACAATGGTGAAGGCTGTTGCTGTGCTTGCTAGCAGTGAGGGTGTCAAGGGCACCATCTTTTTCTCCCAAGAGGGAGATGGTAATTCACCTAAACACGCAGCGACAACTTGTATTCTGTCCTTCCCGTGTTCTTTGGGCGTAATTTGTTGCCTTCCGTATTTAGGTCCGACCTCTGTGACGGGAAGTGTCTCTGGGCTCAAGCCAGGGCTCCATGGATTCCATGTGCACGCGCTCGGTGACACCACTAATGGCTGCATGTCAACTGGTACATATGCACTTCATTCCCCTTTTGTTTATCAGGAGAAATGGATGGATTGTGGTGTGCTTACTGGGGAGTTTGTTCTATGCTGTAGGACCACACTTCAATCCTACTGGGAAGGAACATGGGGCACCACAAGATGAGAACCGCCATGCCGGTGATCTTGGAAATATAACAGCTGGAGCAGATGGTACTTTTGTTTGTTCTCCTTCTGTGTTGCTTACATTCTGTTATTTTGGGGATTACATAGTTTTGCATTGATGGGAATTTTGATAGCTGTTCTCGAATTGTTTAATGCACTGCAGCAATCATGCATAACCCCACTGATAGTTTTTACTTATTGCCTCTCCAGGTGTTGCTAATGTCAATGTCTCTGACAGCCAGGTAGGAAATAATCTTGCTCTCTCAATGAACATATGTGCTGACCTTTTTCTTATCATTTCCTCTTAAGACAGTTAATTTGACATCGGTAACATTCTTTGAACGGCAGATCCCCCTTACTGGAGCACACTCCATCATTGGCCGAGCTGTTGTTGTCCATGCTGATCCTGATGATCTTGGCAAGGGTAATGCTTTATAAACACTCAGATCTGTATTATTTATGTAGGAATGATTATTTGTCAGATGTCTTCTTTTATCATTGTTTTGGATAGAGACATGAAGCCGATGTTTGTGTAATGATGCCTTTCTGTTTTATATCAGGTGGACATGAGCTTAGCAAGACCACTGGAAATGCTGGGGGCCGAGTTGCTTGCGGTGAGTGACTTGGTTTTACTCATGTCCTTTTGGCAAATCTGTTTAATTCGTTTTCGTCCGCGGATTGTTTGTTTCTTCTCTTAGAACTCCCATCAAATCCGTCTGTTCTTATGATGCTTGCTCTTCTCTGGTTCAGGAATCATCGGACTCCAGGGTTAGACGTCTCAACTTTCCAACATACAGAAGCTGTTCATGTTCGCTCGTATGGATGTTGAAATAAAAATAAGCACCTGATGTATGACCAGTGTGCAGTTTGCCCCAGTTTATATATATGTGCTATACTCCTGTCCGAACATTACAGTCATTTGACTTGAGTGCATGCGTTTTAAGTATCATTGGTGGACTTGAGTACATGTCCATAACCCATCATCTGGGATGCTGCGTTTGAGACCGTTCATTTTTCAGCAAGGGGATTGCTCTGTCAGGTAACCTAAATTGACAAATTCAACCTAGGCCTGGACTTATTTGGCGCTGCACAGGTGCATTCTATCTATATGAACCAAACTCTGATCGATGAGTCAGCAACTTAGGATTTTCTGCTTGAAGAGCCAACAATGAATTTGGAACAAATCCGATTTCAACCAACAACGAATTTCAGAAAGATAAACACAATCAACAACAATGCCTGGCCAAACGAAAGGGAAATGCGGATAGCAACAGCGATCTCATCGTTTTCAGGGAACGACACATTTTGAATGTTCTTGCAGCAACATTCGACACCACGGGGAAATAGGAGTGGTGGAAACGTGAAAACTACCATTGAATTGAAAAATAAACATTGAAGATTTGTCCACGTCATTACGGGTAAAAATTTTACTTACAAATTTACTAATGAATAAAAATTTTATTTGAGAGAAATTCAGTAAAAAATTTTACTCGTGTTAGCGTGGACGAATATCAGATATTTATTTTTCGATCCAACAATAGTTTCTAAGTTTCTATTACATACATGGTTTGCGTATATTTTACCCACAACACGCAACACCATGACATACTTGTCGATGCACGGATAAGACTGAGATAAGCACATGACGGGCTATGCTTTGCCTGATAAATTCAAGCACCTCAAGTAGAGCTCGGTGGATTTCGGAGGAGGTCTTTGCCCACCGTGAAGCCGCCGTCGACGACGAGGTTGTGGCCGGTGACGAACTTGGCCTCGTCGGACGCCAAGAACACGGCCGCCCTCGCCACGTCTTCCACCTCCAGCGATGTCCCTTCCAGCTCCTGCATCTCCCTCGTCACCATCCTCCTCACCTCCTCCGCGGTGGCCGCCGGGAACGTCTCGGCGATGATGCCTAGCGCCATCGGCGTCGGGATGGCGTGCGGCGAGATGGCGTTCACCCGCACGCCGTCGCGCGCCAGCTGCCTCGCCACCGCGCGCACCATGCCGACGATGGCCGCCTTCGACATGGAGTACACCGGCGACGCCACGCCGCCGAGCACCGCCGCCGAGCTGGCCGTGCAGAGGATGCAGCCGGCGCGGCGCGGCGCCATGACGCGCGCCGCGTGCTTGACGCACGCCAACATCGACCGGGCGTTGACGGCCATGACGCGGTCGTACTCGTCGAGGTCGAGCGCCGCGAGCGAGGCCGGAGCCGGTGCTCCTATGACGCCGGCGTTGCTGTAGACGACGTCGAGGCGGCCGTGGCGCGCCACGGCGAGGTCGACGGCCGCGGCGACATCCTTCTCGACGGTGACGTCGCAGTGCGTGTACGACGCGGCGTCGGCGCCGAGCTCGGCGGCCACGGCGCGGCCGAGGTCGTCCTGGATATCGGCAATGATAACCTTGGCGCCGTTCCTGACGAACTCCTTCGCCGTGGCCTCGCCGATGCCGCTCGCCGCGCCGGTGATCACGGCCACTTTGCCATCCAACTTTCTGGAGCTTGACGACGAGGAGAAGAGGCGATCGGCCAAGCCGTTGGAGAACACCTGAGCAGCTATGCTCTTCCCCCTGCAACTTGTTTACGTGAAAAATGATTGAAATCATCAAAATTTCACGGTTTGCACGAACGTTTTTTACTGGAGAAGATGCGAACCTGAGAAGTTTGTTGGCTGCTGCGTTGAGCATCATGAACGGACTCCTGATTACCGATGCTTCACTTCCAGGAGTTGAGAGATCTCAGCAGACAGTAGTCTGTACTATAGATGGCCATATGGCCCGCGGGCCGACGGCCTGGCCCAAGCATGGCACGGTCTGACAGGTGTCAGGCCCGTGCTGGCCCGGCCCGATAGTTGGGTCGTGCGCATGAACTTCAGGGAGGCTAAAGTAGACTTATTTCAACCATATGTATGGCACGGTCCCAATACGAATGAGGAAAAATATACTTATTTCAGTTATATATAAGACACGGCCCAAAGAGGAGGGACATATACATGTCACAGCCCAAAGAGGACGGAGACGAAATAGACTTGTATCAAAGAAAGCACGATGGGCTGTCGTGCTTTTGGGTCAGCACAACCCGACTCTTATTGGGCCATGCCTAGGCCGTAGGTGGAGCACGTGGGCTGGCGTTGCTCGACCCGGCCGTTGAGCAGGCCGTGCCAGGCTGCGCGGCCCATTTGGCCATCTCTAGTCTGTACAATGGGTGCGGCTAAATAGTTAAAAGATAAAAAAAGTAATACTATTAGTATGCTAAAGGACAATAATTAGTGAGTTTAATGTCTGGAAGAATTTTCCAATGTGTTAGAGAATTTGGATTATAATAATAGCACTCCACTATTATAGTGAGGTGAAGGTGCATATCCAAGGCCTATATCGATATACAGTGTGTGACTAGAGGTGTTTTGTGGTGTCAAGGACAGGTGATACCTCTAAGGTATCATCCCATCTGAACGAGATACCGTCATGTAGCATTCCCCTAAACATTTGTAAATTCCACATCGTATTCCATTGAAGTTATTATGGTGGCACCAATGATTTGTTATCTTGGCTACGCACGTTGTCTAACATTATGTGATTTTGTCAAACTTCCGTGTGTTTTTAAATCGCCATTTCCATTGATACCAAATTATCAATGTTTTAGGCTCTATGTGCCTATGAGGAAAAGAGAAGCACCCATCCAAATGATTTGCGTTGGCACAAATTTTAATCTATCTATTGATAAAAATAAAGTAACTGGGTGTACGAGGATGTCCATATCCAACTACTATGTCTAGCCAAGTGTGGTGAGTCTAACATGCATGTCCACTCCAGGAATCCCCAACGGCTAGTTTTTTTTTCTGTTGGATAGAAGTCCAATACAATTGGGCTTAGTTGGATGATTTGACTAAGATAAGGGTCTATCTGACCAACGTTTAAAGGCCGGTCGAACTACCAGATGACCCCAAGAGTCCCCAATGACCTTTTGTACCGCCGGACTAAAGTACGGTGTGCTTAGTTGGGCGGTTTGACTGACAAACATGTCATGAAAAGTGTAATAGCCTCAAATAATTAGTTATTTGATGTAGGCTATATAAGACCATGAATTCAAGCGGTTTGGCTATTGCTCCTTATCCTAGTGCCCTAGTGGAGGCATTACTTAAGAGGCAACCTTTATGAGTCTATTGTGCATCCTTGAAATTGAGCGAGCCATCTGCCCCTTCTCATCTCCTCCAGTGCATAAGTACCCTTAGACGTGTGAACCATATTGATGATATGGAAAGTGGTTATTCCCTTATTGATGTACACATCATTGTAATATGATACACAATATTATATTGTTGTACTTTGTGTGAACTATATCTGATGTACGACATGAATTGAGTTAGAGCTCAATTGCACAGATCATAGAAGACACTATTTTTTTCTAACATGGAAATTTAAAAGTTATTAAAGATAATACAATCAAACCGTAGCGTTTAGCACGGGCATATTACTAGTCTCCTCCAGTGCATAAGTTGCAACCAATGTGCTTAGTAGAAAATAGAGAGATTGTTTAGTCATTGTGCATGAGATTGAGCCATGGTACTTTGTGAGAGAGTCTTGGTTTACTACTCTTGGTTGCCGACACCTAGACGGTTTGGTACCAGTTGTGACCTGGTGATCTCTGCAAGGGAGTAATGGAGAAGGTCCGGTGGTTTAATGTTCACCATCTTGAGAATGGAGGAAGAACGGCCACTAATGATTAAGGCTTGGGTAGATTACCTCGGTATTGGCCTCACTTGCCCATCTCTTGAGTCTCGACGAGAGATTTGGAGTCTTGACGGTTCGAGTGGTGAAGCATCATTTGTTGATTTGATGTACTCGACGTATCCATTTTATCCATCCTTTGGATGCTGAATACTACTCTGTCCAAAAAAAAAGGCAAACTCTAACTACATATCTGGACATAGGATTGAACTTTTTTTTTAGACGGAGGGGATATGCATGTAAGTCATCAACCAGACCTCCATTCAATTCCAAGGCAGGTCGGCAACTCAAGATATATGCATGCTTACTTTGAATTTGCTGTTCAACTAGCCACCAGAAACCACGGGCGAATTTCGGAGAGATAAACACAATCACAATAATACAGTGATTCGATATTTGAAATACTTATGCAAACGGAATAGTCCATTGAGTTTACTGAGAAAGAACGACAGATTTGAAATGACGAGACAACAACCTCCAAATTTGGCCAGACTTGACACCAACTCAAGCAGAGCCCGGAGGATCCCGGACGAGCACCTTGCCTGCCGTGAACCCGCCGTCGACGACGAGGTTGTGGCCGGTGATGAACTTGGCCTCGTCGGACGCCAAGAAGACGGCCGCCCTCGCCACGTCTTCCACCTCCAGCGACGCCCCTTCCAGCTCCTGCATCTCCCTCGTCACCATCCTCCTCACCTCCTCCGCGGTCGCCGCCGGGAACGTCTCGGAGAAGAGACCTATCGCCATCGGCGTCGGGACTGCGTGCGGCGAGATGGCGTTCACCCGCACGCCGTCGCGCGCCAGCTGCCTCGCCACCGTCCGCACCATGCCGACGACGGCCGCCTTCGACATGGAGTACGCCGGCGCCGCCATGCCGCCGAGCACCGCCGCCGTGCTGGCCGTGCAGAGGATGCAACCGGCGCGGCGGGGCGCCATGACGCGCGCCGCGTGCTTGACGCACGCCAACATGGACCTGGCGTTGACGGCCATGACGCGGTCGTACTCGTCGAGGTCGAGCGCCGCGAGCGTGGCCGGAGGCGCGCCACCCGCGATGGCGGCGTTGCTGTACACGACGTCGAGGCGGCCGTGTCGCGCCACGGCGAGGTCGACGGCCGAGGCGACATCCTTCTCGACGGTGACGTCGCAGTGCGTGTACGACGCGGCGTCGGCGCCGAGCTCGCCGGCCACGGCGCGGCCGAGATCATCCTTGATATCGGCAATGATAACCTTGGCGCCATTCCTGACGAACTCCTTCGCCGTGGCCTCGCCGATGCCGCTCGCTGCGCCGGTTATCACGGCCACTTTGCCATCCAACTTTCTGGATCTTGACGACGAGGAGAAGAATACGTGAGCAGCTATGCTCTTCCCCCTGCAAAAAGTGTACGTGAAACATGCTTAAAATCATCAAAATTTCACGGTTTCCACGAACGTTTCTTACTGGAGAAGATGCTGCGATTTTTACTGGAGAAGATGCGAACCTGACAAGTTTTTTGGCTGCTGCGTTAAGCATCATGATAATTTCTGCTTCGCTTCCAGGAGTCGAGAGATCTCAGCAGACAGCAGTCTGTAGATAGGGTGTGGTTAAATAGTAAGAAGATTAGAAAAAAAAGCATAAAAACAAATAGAGTACTATTAGTGTGCTAAAGGTCAATAATTAGTGGGTTTAATGTCTGGAAGAAATTTCCAATTTATAATAGGGTTTGAATTATAATACGACTCCACTATTATAGTGAGAGGGGAGAGCCAAGGTCCATGTCGATGTACAGTGTGTTATTTAGGTGAAGTTAGATGGTGTTGTTTTCTAATGAAGATGAAGATAAAGTTACGACACATAAAATAAGAAAGCCATTAACGTTTGATTAATACTCCCTTCATCTACTTTTGATAGTTATATTTTCAAATCTGAAAAATTTATTTTTGATAGGCATATTTCAATCCAACAACCTATCATCTTAATGACTTTCTCGGATTTAATGCATGACTCTTCATTCTTCCACACAAGATTGGTTGCATGGGCATCGAGAAATGTAAATATTAATGAATCGCTTGTTTACGAGGAATGACCAGTAGCATGTTTAAATGGATGATAAGTAGAATTACTTATCCTTGGTCTGTGTGTCAAGATGAAATATGACTATCAAAAGTTGATGGAGGGAGTATCCCTTAAGTTTTAATTATTATAAAAGTAAAAAGCTAAACTTATTTGATATTTTATGTAAATTCTAGATAGAAAGCTTTTATATGAAACACACCGTTTAGCAGTGTTAATGAAACAGAGGTCAAATCTGTATCTAAATTAGAAACGAATACCATGTGTTTTGTGGTGTCAAGAACAGCAGTAAACATTTGTAAATTCCATTATGGATTGATGCTTGTACGGCATATTTGTGAAGTGACCCCATATTCCCATGGAGTAATTATGGTGACACCAATGGTTTGTCCTCCTGGCTACGCACGACTTTGACACTTTTGTCCAACTTCTCTGTGTTATTAAATCACCATTTCCATTGGTACCAGATTATCAGTGTTTTAGGCTCTACATGCCAATGATGAAAAGTGAAGCACCCGTTCAAGCGATTTGCATTGGCGTCAAATTTTAATCTATCTATTGAAAAAACAAACCAGCTGAATGTACGAGGATCTTGTGGTTAGTTTTCTCGAGTCCTAAGAAAAAGAGAAGTGCATATATCCTCGCACATTCAACTGGAGTGTTCTTTAGAGTTTGGGCCCTATATCCTCGAGAAAATTTGTAGATTATTGGACGGATTGTTCATGGGTTCGATAGCCCTTTTAATAAGCTTTGCATATAATCCAAAAACATCCAAATCCAACACTCAAGTCATTTTAAGTAGTTGTTTCATAGATTGTCAGTCATGCTGAAATAAGGGTTTAGACTTAAAAGAGGTCGATGTGACCACCAAAAGACTTCCTCAGCGGCTAGTTTTTTTTTATTATTATTGTAGGACATAAATGCGGTGTGCTTAGTTGGATGGTTTGACTGGTAAACACGTCGTGAAAAGTGCTTTAGACTCAAATAGTTACTCCCTTCGTACAACGAATCTAGACGGAGTGTTATCCAGATTTGTTGTACTAGAAGGGGTCACATCCCCTCTTAGATCCTGTTTGATTCAGCTTAGGTTTATTATAATCTGGATTACTAGGAGTAAGCTAAAATAAACAAGTAGATTATTATGCTAGATTATTATACTCTATAAACCAGATTAGTATAATCCAATAATGTAACGCCCCGACATTCATTAGCCATTAACACAGCTAAATCACACCGGGGTGTTATGCATTACCTGTGATATAGTACCAGTCCCAGGATACACTAGCTGGTACACACAGAATAAATGTGGAATCAAAGTAAACTATTTTATTACATCACTGGGTAGTAGTCCTTATATAAGTTGCTATCATGGACAGGCCCATAGATGAGCAACACAACAGCACATAAAAACATAAAAACGACGGCGCAGAAGCGAACAGCACGGAGAACTAAGCGACTACGCACTAGGCAAAGAACCTAGGCAACTAACTTATTCCACAGGCGAGGCTTGGGGCTAGGCACGAAACATCTAGAAGTCTTCATACTTGGCTTGCTCCTGGAGATACTCCTCGGCGGTCGGGTCGACGTCTTCGTCTTCAAACTCTATATATTATTTATAAGGGGCAAGGGTGAGTACTTGACGTACTCAGCAAGCCGGGGAAAAGAATGGCGTGTTGGTTTAACAAGGAGGCTACTGTTTTATTTGCGAAGGCTGCCATTTTGGCAAAATGATTTATTTCACAAAACTCCTAGTGAATGAGTCAAGTTTTAGTTGTCGGGAGGAGGCTCACGCCTCAACCCATTCCACAAGTTGCTTTGCAACAACTTGTCACGGTTAACGAACAACAAATATTTTGTTTCCTCTTGGTTCCTTCTCACTTTCCACAACAACACTAATCCACACAAAACACCTGGTTATCCCAGCACAACATCGCCATCATCATGGCCCTAACAACACCTCAGTGTCGGACGACACCCCAGGTCACACAGACCCGTTCCTAACCACCCAGGTTAGCCGTCTGCCACACAGGCGGACTCTGGTAACGCTCCCTTTTCAGTAACCACTTTTCCACAAACCTTTGTCAAACAAATCTACGCTATGAGAAACACCTTACACTCGCTCTTGACCGTGGGCACGGCTGTTCGAACAGTTCATTAATCTCTGCAGAGGTTGCACGCTTTACCCACACGACACGAAACTTACACCGGTACTGGCCGGTACCGGAAGTTCGTGATAAGGCCTTTCCAAAGCTAACCCATGAAAATCGCATGCCACCTAGTTGGGCTCAGATCCATAGCCGAGTATCAGGCAATAACAGCCGTCATCCACTCAGGAAATACCGAGGACGCCTCCTACTCCTACTGGTATCACGCCACAATAGAGGCAAAAAGACACCCATGATGGGCAATAAATGTGTAACACTTCGTCTCCTCATCCTCGGCATTCCACAACCATTGGCACACCAACTCCCATGTGATAACAATTTACTTAGCCAGAGGCATCCCATAATACCCGTGTGGTCGCACTATAACGTGTTCGGATGGATTTCCCAAAGGAATCGGTCCTTAACGATAATACGTAGCCAAACCACAAAGGCATGACTCCGCATCATCACCACTTTCACAACACATTTTATTTCACAACTCCTCGGTACAACGTACCGGATTTTTAAACATGTATTTGGAATAACCTAAGTTTCCCACACGGCAACAACGTAAGCATGGCTAAGCGAAACTACCTCGGTAATCGTGTAACGATACCGGCGCAAACATTTGTAGAGCTATCAAAGGTATGGAAACATCAACCTATGTAATATAAGTGCGACTACTAGGTTGGTCCGTCGGACGTATAAACAATCCGACGCCTAACATGTTAATCGTGTGAACTAAGCAATGCACTTTTCAAACAACATATCTTTGCAAATATAGGGGCAATGTGATCAAAGAGGCTTGCCTTGCACAGGGTTGGGGTCTTCTCCTTCGAAAGCGGCGTCCGGGGCTTCTTCGAACTCGGGCTCTTAACGTGAAAACAAAGCTAAAAAAAACAAAAGGCAATAAAACAAGCTCAAACCAGAGAAACAATAGTGCCACTGTGTAGATCTCAATTTTAGAAAAATTTAGGAACTTGAATGGGGTCAATCGGAGTTACGGTTGATTTTCTATGAATTTTCAAAGGTAAAGGGATTTTTCTGGAATTTCATTTATTGGACGGCAAGGGAATATTCCGCTAGAGTAACAGCAAAGAGAGGGGGCCCACCTGTCAGCGGCCAATGGAGGAAAGAAGGCGCGGGCCCGGCTTGTCAGTGGCTTGAGAGAGGAAAGGGAGGTGGGGCCGGCTTGGCAGCAGCTCAGGAGGTCTTCTTCCTCCTCCTGTCGCTTGCTTGCACGGCTCGGCCCTGGGATGGCGACGCACCGCGGCGATGGGGCGCGGCGAGGCGACCAGCGGCCGAGGGAGGTGGCGGCGGACTCCGGTGGGGCTCCGGCGGCGACGGCGGCGCCGGGAGGCGAGGCTCGGCTTCGTCTTCCTGCTCTCGCTTTGCTCGGCTTGAGGCGGCAAGGTGCCGCGGCAGCGGGGCGCGGCTCCGCGGCCGGCGGCCAGGAGAGGCGGTGGCGACCTCGGGCGGTGCTCCAGCGAGGCACCGCCGGTGACGGCGGCGCTAGAAGGCGCGGCATAACGGCTATAGGTGGCGGTACAGAGAGCAAAACGAGGGAGAGAAAGAGGAGAGAGAGATGGGAATGGTGTGGGGAATTTGGGAGAGCTCGGGCTCCTTTTATAGGCGAGCAACGCAGTGGCGAGCTGGCGGTCTAGACGCGGGGAATCGGAAGGTAGGCGGCTAGCTGCTCGGCCGGATTCCTGGGAGGAGGGGTCGGCGATGCGACGACATGGCGTCATGCACCGGTGGCGACTCGACAGCGAAACGACACGAAGGGACGTGCAGAGAGCGGGAACGGCGGCGGAACATGGGTGACGCGCGGCCGACAGCGGCTACGGCCGGGATTTGGGGCGGTAGGGCTAGAGAGGGTTGACGCGAGCGACGGTGGCGACTTGACGCGAGAGAGAGGGAGAGACGCGGCTCGGCGGCTTCCCGGGAGGAGACGGCGACAAGACGACGAGGCGACGGCGAAGGGACGCGCGTCCGCGAGAGCTCGGGATGGGACGGCGCTGCGTCAGCGGTGGTGGCGACGCGACATGGCGATGGAACGGGGATGACGAGGGGTGGCGTCGACGCGACGGGCGACGGGACGGCGAGGTGATGCCCGCGACATCGGATGGACGGCGACGGGACAGGGGATGACGCATGCGGCGGCGTGGCTCCGTGTCTCCTGGAGAGAAACCGGAGCGCGGTCGGGCTTGGCACGACGCGGCTTTGGCGCGGCGCGGGCGTCGGTTTGGTGCGGGGGAGGTGCGGCGCGGATGTTGGCACGACGCGCAGCGCACGGGAGAGTGGCTCGGTGCAATGCGGCTCGGTCACGATGGAGAAACAGTGCAGCGACTCGGTGAGACATTTCGTCGAACACTTGGCGTGCGTGAGCTGGCTGGCCTGAGGAAGGAGATAAACAGTAGTGGGCCGAGTTGGGCCGGCCTGCTCCGGGAGCTGAAGAGAGGAGGGATGGAGGGGAGTTGGGCCTGGGAGAGAGAAGAGAGAAGGAGGCCCAATTCGAACAGTGAGCTTTCACAATTTTCCGGAGATTTGTAGAGTTTGAATTTTGGGGAGAATTTTGGGAGGGATTTGAATTTGAGTTTAACCTAGGGTTTCATGGGATCTTAAAGGCAATTCTAAGAGAGGATTTGAGATCTATTTGGCACAAAAACAATTAAGAACCAAATTAACTCCAAATTTTTAAATGACAAGATTTTAAATAAATGAAAATAAAAATACAGGTGCTACAAATAATCTCCTCTAGAGGAGCTTTTTCCAAATTATTGAGTGGCTAAAGATCCACTACTCCTCTAATAATCCAGAGAAACAAACAACTTGCAGCTTATTCTATTTCAGCTTATTATAATCCAGCTTAGAGTAATTTGATTTAATAATCTACACTACTACAAAAAGGTAAATAGGTGTCGCCACTATAGGTGCTGGCACACCAAAAACCGGCACCAATAATGCCTTCCCCGCCCATGCACCCACCTCCACACGCCACATATTAAAAAACCGGCACCTTTATGTCCAAATAGGTGCCGGTTTTTAAATAAAACCGGCACCTAAAACATGTGTCAGAGAAAGGTGCCAGTTCTAGACCCAAAACTGGCACCTTTAATCTTCTGCCTCCCACACTGCTGTTGGTGGGCCCCGCACATAGGTGCCGGTTTTAAGACAAAGGTGCCGGTTTTTTAAAAACCGACACCTATAATAAATTAAAGGTGTCGGTTTTGGGTAAAAAAACCGACACCTTTACAGATCGAGCCGAGCCGGCTGAGCCGACCGGCGGGCCCCACAACCATCGGATAAGGTCATCTCACTCAGCCTCTCCTCTCTCATATCGCTCTCTTCTCTCTCTCTCTCCCTCCCTCCCTCCTCTCTCGCCTCGCTCTCTTCTCTCTCTCTCTCCCTCCTCTCTCGCGCGCTGCCGCGGAGGCGGAGGCAGCGACTTGACAGCTGGAGGGGAGCCCTCCCCTCTGCCAGATCCGGCGGGAGGGGAGACGGCGGCGGCAGGAGGGGGAGGCGGCGGCGGGAGGTAGCGGCAGCAGCGGGCGGCGCCGGGAGGAGAGGCGACAGCGGCGGGCGGCACCCTCCCCTCCGCCAGATCTGGCGGAAGGGGAGGTGGTGTCGCCGCATTGGCGGCCCCACGGCGGAAGAGTCGGCGGGGGCGGTCCGATGGCCCGGTGGCGGCGCCCTCCCCTTCGCCAGATCTGGCGGGAGGGGAGGTGGCGGCGGCGGGAGGTGGCGACGGTGGCTTCATCGGCAGCGGTGGTGGCGGCGCCTCGTCCTCTCCATCCGGCTCCTCATCCTTCTCCTCTCCAATTTATTCTTGATGAATGTGTGTTCTTGATGAATGTGTTCTTGATGAATGTGATGTTGATGTGTTTGATTGATGAATTTGAGGAAATTTTGGGATTTGGCTGTAGATGGGATCGGCTTGACGGCTCAATGCATCGAGCCTCGAGCCGATTTTTTTTTGGCTCATGGGCACCTCAAAGGTGCCGGTTTCAAAACCGGCAAACAGTGCCGGTTTCAAAACCGGCAAACAGTGCCGGTTGGGTTAACCGTGCCGGTTGGACACCGAAGGGGGGTTCCCAACCGGCATCGTTTAGAGATTCTGTAGTAGTGCTAGATTACAATAATTTTAAGCTGAAACAAACAGGGCCTTAGATTGTCTTCTTTTGAGACGAAGGGAGTAGTTATTTGGTGTAAACTACTACCTCCGTTTCAGGTTATAATACTTTCTAGCAGTGCTCACATTTATATAGATGTTAATGAATCTAAGCACACATATATGTCTAAATTCATTAACATATATATGAATATGGACAATGTTAAAAAGTCTGGTAATATAAACGGAGGAAGTAGTATTTAAGACCATCTGTTCGAGTGGTTTGGCTATTGCTCCTTAACTATTGCTATTGCCACAAGCCACTGGTGAATTTCGGAGAGATAAACACAATCACAATAATATAGTGATTGGATATTTGAATAGCACACGCAAACGGAATAATCCATTGAGTTTGCTGAGAAAGAACGAAGGATTTGAAATGCCGAGACAGCAACCTCCAAATTTGGACAGACTTGTCGATGTACGGATAAGACTGAGATAAGCACTGGACGAGCTAAGCTTTGCGTGACAATCCCGTCACCAATTCAAGCTGAGCCAGGAGGATCCCGGACGAGCACCTTGCCTACAGTGAAGCCGCCGTCGACGACGAGGTTGTGGCCGGTGATGAACTTGGCCTCGTCGGACGCCAAGAAGACGGCCGCCCTCGCCACGTCTTCCACCTCCAGCGACGCCCCTTCCAGCTCCTGCATCTCCCTCGTCACCATCCTCCTCACCTCCTCCGCGGTGGCCGCCGGGAACGTCTCGGCGATGATGCCCAGCGCCATAGCCGTCGGGATGGCGTGCGGCGAGATGGTGTTCACCCGCACGCCGTCGCGCGCCAGCTGCCTCGCCACCGTCTGTTGGAAATCAAAGCTATTCACTCACTCAATCTCACAAGAACACAAGCACACACACAAAAGGACTCAGAACACAGAGAGTTTGCAAGTGCGTAGCACTTCTTTTTGTTTTTTTCTCACACTGAAACTGATTACATTGATCTCTATTTAAAGATGCACATGACCTGCTTAAGCCTAAAGAAATGCAAGAATCCTAGATAACAAACTCACCCACGTCTAACAGAATATCTCCTGGTCAATCTCCGATGCATGCGCCCATGCAAACTTCGACCGCTTCCTGCTCCTGAGTTGATCCCTTCGCCACATTTGCATGCATGGCTAACTAATTAGCTAGATGTACTCTCACCTCCTGGCAACACGATCAGCCACTACTGATCACTGCCAATCTCTCTACTCACTAAGCCATGCAGCACAACCACTAAGCTAGCACTCACGGCATGCAACACACATACATGTGACTTCTACTCAGCTACTACCATACAAATAAACATGCTGAAAACAAAACAACAAGATTATACTTCTAATACCGTCTGCACCATGCCGACGACGGCCGCCTTCGACATGGAGTACGCGAGGGGCCCGATGTTGCCGAGCACCGCCGTGGAGCTCGCCGTGCAGAGGATGCAGCCGGCGCGGCGCGGCGCCATGACGCGCGCCGCGTGCTTGAGGCACGCCACCATGGACCTGGCGTTGACGGCCATGACGCGGTCGTAGTCGTCGAGGTCGAGCGCCGCGAGCGTGGCCGGAGGTGCGCCGCCGGCGATGCCGGCGTTGCTGTACACGACGTCGAGACGACCGTGGCGCGCCACGGCGAGGTCGACGGCCGCGGCGACATCCGCCTCCACCGTGACGTCGCAGTGCGTGTACGACGCGGCGTCGGCGCCGAGCTCGCCGGCCACCGCGCGGCCGAGGTCGTCCTGGATATCGGCAAGGATGACCTTGGCGCCGTTCCTGACGAACTCCTTCGCCGTGGCCTCGCCGATGCCGCTCGCCGCGCCGGTGATCACGGCCACTTTCCCATCCAACTTTCTGGAGCTTGACGCCGACGAGGAGAAGGAGCGATCGGCCAGGCCGGAAGAGAACATCGGACGAACACCTCTGCTCCTCCCCCTGTAACGCGTGTACGTATGAAAATAAAAAGATCAAAATCATCATAATTTCTCTAGAGAATATGAAGAAGACGATGGCAACCTGAGAAGAAGTTGCCCAGCTGCGTTGATCATCCTCAACGAGTGCCACCGGCGTCGTGCTCTCGTGTTCACTGGTTCTTCGATTCCAAGCTCGAGTCCAAAGGTCACAGTAGAGAGGGGCTAGTTAAATAGTTTGAAAAAACTGGGGGAAAATGGTACTCTCTCCATCCCATAATATAAGGGATTTTGAGTTTTTTCTTACACTGTTTGACCACTCGTCTTACATAAAAAATTTTGAAATTATTATTTATTTTTTTGACTTACTTTATTATCCAAAATACTTTAAGCACAACTTTTCATTTTTTATATTTGCACAAATTTTTTGAATAAGACGAGTGGTCAAAAAATGCAAACAAAAACTCAAAATCCTTTATATTACGGGTTCTTAAAAAAAACCCACTCCTAAATTTGAACATGGACACAAGGTTTTTTTTTTTTACGGAGAGAGCATATATGAAGGGCCAAATGAAGGACAATAATTAGTGGGTTTTGTGTTGCGTAAATTTTTGAAGTACAGGAGGGTTGGTCTTATCGTTTTAGATAAGGATACGGTCTTAAAAAAATAACTTTAACCAATATTTTTAATTATAATATGTATAGAAACGTCAACAAATATATGAATTTATTGAAATATTTTTTAAGATTAATTTATACATTTGACATATTTCTAAGACAAAAAGATATTAGAGATTAGTCAAATATTTTTAAGTTTAGCATCAAGTTTATCTAAAACGACAAATATTATCAATCTAGAAGTACCATTGGAGCATGCACAATGCGATGAAGTGGTCTTAGAAAGATCAGCTTGGACATTAGGCTCCACATTGGACATGCACGGGCCCTTACGAGAGCGCTTGTGGCCCTACCTGCGATGAGAGCACTCGGCGCCTTTCATGTGCGTTGGTGGAGCCACATTTTAAACATGAGGGGACCAACTGTTGGACAATAATGTCCAGAAAAATAAAAACCACAATAGTAGTCCAAGGTTCTCAGAACTTCCTTTTGGATATCATATTGCCCTTCGCAGAAGATGACAAAACATCTCAAAATGCTTCACAAATTATAACTTACTAGTAATGTGCCCGTGCGTTTCAACGAGAAATACAATTCGTTTATAATATGTCACTTGCATGTATAGTTGTCGGAGAACGATTTCATCTACCTTTGAGGAAGAATCGATGGACCCCTTTAGTACCCAAAGACCAAAGTTGTCATTTTAAAAGCTGAAGAGTGTGGATCGAGGATAGAACTCTCTGTCATGAAGTACAACCGGGGATTAAAGCGATAGGCATAACTGATCAAACTTGCATTTGAAGACTGCATCGACGATAGAACTCTTCGTCATATTCATTGATATAGCCATGCTCATTGATAGTATCAGATTATCAGTGTTCTGTTCTAGGCTCTGCGTCTGATGAGAAGAAAAGCATCCGAAATGATTTGTATTTATGCCAAGTTTTAATGTTACGGATGTGTTTAGTTGGATCCAAAGTTTGGATTTTGGTTGAAATTGGAGATGATGTGACTGAAAAGTTGTGAGTGTATGACAGGTTGATGTGATGAAAAAGGACTGAAGTTTGGATCCAAACTTTGGATCTAAACACAGCCGTAGTACCTGTTGAAATAGCAAGAAGTACACATCCAACCACTCTGGATGGAACAGACCAACAACCCTAGTAAAATGACTTAAACGAAGACATATGGACTGTTTGGATACCCACCTTAATTTACCACAGTTTTTATACCAAAGGTGTGGCAAGATGCAAATTGTGTGGCTCAAAATTTGATGGCCACACTTGTGGCAAACTTTGGCTAAGAAAAGGGTCTATGACTAGTGGGACCAAAAGAGTAGAAAGTGTGGCATGCCAAAGTTATAGAAACAAACCAAACACTAGCCACATTTGGTCAAACTAACATACCACAAGTGTGGCAAAATGTGGTACTAACCAAACAGGCCTATAGAGAAAATGCAGGATTGTGATAAGAATGTGTAAAAAACAGAGAATTGTAAAACATAGAAAAGACATATAAATGGCAGTTTGATTGGACTGCAGAAAAAATACAGGAATAAGATGGAGAGAGACTCAAAGGATAATTTTTCAAGAGATTAAAGCGTGCGCTCTTGCTAAGTTTTCTTCAAAATTTCTATAGGATTATCCATTACATAGGATTTTCAAAGGATACTATAGAATACATTCCTTTGTTTTGAAAACCTTAATGAAAAATTTTCCTATAGAATTAAAATCTTCCAAAATCTTAATCTCAAAAAAAAAATCTTCCAAAATCAAAGGACCCTTAACTCGGCATGTACAATATGGAGATTCCAACACGAGTAATTTATGGCTCGCATGATACAACCGTTTTTAACACTAAGATTAGAATTAAAACATCATATATTAATGATCGGAGCAACTACAATCGTCGCGTTAATTGTTAAACAATTTACTAATTCCAATCCAAATTATAGGACTTCCGTAAGAATAAGAACCACGGACATACACATGCCGAGGTATCAAGGTTACATTTGAAACAAATTATTGACCAAATTGTTACCTGATATATAATTCTATTTTAGCATTTCAATTCGAAACGAGCACCTCCAAGATGTCAAGCAAAGCTCGGTGGATTCCGGAGGAGGTCCTTGCCGACCGTGAAGCCGCCATCGACGACGAGGTTGTGGCCGGTGACGAACTTGGCCTCGTCGGACGCCAAGAAGACGGCCGCCCTCGCCACGTCCTCCACCTCCAGCGACGCCCCTTCCAGCTCCTGCATGTCCCTCGTCACCATCCTCCTCACCTCCTCCGCGGTGGCCGCCGGGAACGTCTCGGAGATGACGCGCGTCACCAGCGCCGTCGGGATGATGTGCGGCGAGATGGCGTTCACGCGCACGCCGTCGCGCGCCAGCTGCCTTGCCACCGTCCGCACCATTCCGACGACGGCCGCCTTCGAGATGCAGTACGCCGGCGCCGCCAGGTCGCCGATCAGCGCCGTGGAGCTCGCCGTGCAGAGGATGCAGCCGGCGCGGCGCGGGGACATGACGCGCGCCGCGTGCTTGAGGCAGGCCACCATGGACCGGGCGTTGACGGCCATGACGCGGTCGTAGTCGTCGAGGTCGAGCGCCGAGAGCGTGGGCGGGGCCGCGGCGCCGGCGATGCCGGCGTTGCTGTAGACGACGTCGAGGCGGCCGTGGCGCGCCACGGCGAGGTCGACGGCCGCGGCGACGTCCGCCTCGACGGTGACGTCGCAGTGCGTGTACGACGCGGCGTCCGCGCCGAGCTCGGCGGCCATGGCGCGGCCAAGGTCGTCCTGGATATCGGCGAGGATGACCTTGGCGCCATTCCTGACGAACTCCTTCGCCGTGGCCTCGCCGATGCCGCCCACCGCGCCGGTGATCACGGCCACTTTCCCTTCCAACCTTTTGGAGCTTGACGCCGACGAGGAGAAGAGGCGATCGGCCAAGCCGGAAGAGAACATCGGACGAACACCTCTGCTCCTCCCCCTGCAACACGTGTACGTATATAAAAGAATTTAAATCCGAACAAAATTTAAATTTAAATTCATCACAATTTCACAGTTTGCACGAGCGTTTTCTACCGGAGAAGATGCGAACCTGAGAATTTTGTTGGCTGCTACGCTCATCATCGTGAAATTTGGTTCGCTTCCAGGTTCCTCGGAGTATACAGACTGTAGTATGTAGAGAGGGATTGGTTGAGTAGTTTATAAATAAAAAATCTGAAAAAAGAATGGAAAATGTACGGATTACTATTATTGTGCTAGAGGACAATAATTAAATTATTGACTTTAATCTATGAAATAGTTATTAAAACGTGCGGTTGGGGGTTATAATAAAGGTACTATTCTATTAGAGCAGGTACAATACGGTGGTAGATGCTGACGATAGGAGTATCATGTCAGCGTCGATGATTAATCGGAGGTGAAAAATGTAGTGAGAGAGATATGGTTCAAAATGAATTCAACAAAATACTCTTCACCTTCGTGGATCAGCTACTGAAGCGGAAGTGCTAGCCTGCCTTGAAGGTCTCAGGAATGCAGCTCAGTGGATCCATATGCCAATCATTCTGGAGTTAGACAATGCTGAGGTTGCCAAGCTCTACAGAACGAAATCTCATTGAGATCAAACTGGCTGGCAATAATCTTGGAGATAAAAGGTCATGCGGTGTCTCCAGCAGATGCAAGTGCATAAGATAAAGAGAAAAGCGAATAGGGTGACTCACGATCTTGCTCGAATGGCAACGAGTACTAGGTCTAGTGCTGAGTGGAGGCGGTGTGCTCGAGTACAAATTCTAGACTTGTTAAACTAAGAATGTAACCCTTTATTCAGTCACTAATAAAGCTCTCTCTTTAGTGTAAAAAAAAATCAAAATACTCCCAGATCTACCTCGGACATATACGAAACAATCTAAACTTTGGCATCATCAAAGAGACACGGCATGTGCCATCTCACGTGGAAAAAGAGAAAAAAAAAACACACCACACCCCAATAATTTTGTAATAAGAGTCCAACAAGATGGCATCGCGCTGCTGTTGCTTTGTGTGTGTCATCTGTCCTAAAATATAAGATGTTTTAAACTTAAATACAAATATTAGAAATTAATAAAATTACATGGAAAGATATTGTGATTCCTTTAGAAGATTAGGTATATAGAAATTTAAATGGTGAAAGGCTGCGATTAGTTGAAAGAGAATGTAGGCGAATGGTCTACTCAGGACGATTCTAACCCTCTATTTTAGCTAGTTTTCATAGCAATTAATATATCACGTAAAAAAAATATATGCAAGCCAACTCTACATATAGCAACTACGAATAAAAACGATGAGAAATGTGGATGAAAGGAAAGAGAAGAGATGTAATTGAATAATAATTTATTTTAAAGAAAGCACCTATTAGGTACATATTTCTATATATGATTTTTATGACATGTCGAGTATAAAAACTAATTGATAGTTTCTGGATTAAGATTATCCTTATTTCCCTATTACCAAATCTAAACAACAAACTGGTAATCAATACATAAACTCTGAATTATTAATCAAATAAAACAAAGTCCACATGGAAATTAAATTTTCTGATTTTCTAAACTCAAGCACGCGCCACGTTGAGCCGCTTCCCGACGGTGAACCCGCCGTCGACGACGAGGTTATGCCCGGTGACGTACTTGGCCTCGTCGGAGGCGAGGTACACCGCCGCCCTCGCGATGTCCTCCGCCTCCAGCGTCGCGCCCTCTAGCTCGTTCATGTCCTCCTCGATGAGCCGCCTCACCCGCTCGGCGTCCGCCCACGCCAGCATGTCGCCGAACCCGCGCATCGCCAGTGGCGTCGCGATGCCGAGCGGCGAGATCGCGTTCAGCCGCACGCCGTGGCGTGCCAGCTCGCCGGCGGCGGACCGCACCACACCTATGACCGCCGCCTTGGAGACGTTGTACGCGTGGGGCATCTCGCCGCCCATCATGCCCGCCACGCTGGCCGTGCAGAGGATGGAGCCGGTGCGTCGTGGTGCCATCACGCGCGCGGCGTGCTTGATGCCGGCGAGCACCGCCCGGGCGTTCACCGCCATGACGCGGTCGAAGTCGGCGAGGTCGAGGGAGGCAAGGTGCCCCACAGAGGAGCTTGTGATCCCGGCGTTGTTGTACAGGATGTCAAGGTGGCCGTGGCGCGCCACGGCAAGGTCCACGGTCGCCGCGATCTGCGCCTCGTCGGTGACGTCGCAGCGGGTGTAGGCCGAGCCCGGGCCGAGCTCGGCAGCGACGGTGTGGCCGAGATCGTCTTGTACGTCGGCGATGATGACCTTGGCGCCATTGCGGATGAACTCCTTGGCCGTCGCCTCGCCGATGCCGCTTGCGCCACCGGTGATCACGGCCACCTTTCCAGCCAACCTACACCGAGGTAATCCGTGTATTAATTGCAAGCTCACATAAGCTGAGAGGAAAGAATTGTTTGATGTGGCATTTGAGTTATTTCAAAGCATTCCTAGGATAAATCTTGGATTCTTGGAGCAAATCCATTGGTGAGATAGTCAGAGGCAGAGTAGTACTACTACTCCATCCGTTTCATATTACCAGATGTTTGACTTTTGTTTTATTTTTTAAAAAATACTAACATTTGTAATATAAAATAAACCTATTATCAAAATATATATTCAATTTTAAATTTAATGAATTTAATTTGGTGTTGTAGAATGTAGATGTTGCTAAGTTGTTTTGTAAATTTGATCAAATATAAAGAGGTTTAATTAAAGGAAAGTCAAATGACATATAATATAAAATGGAGGGAGTACTTTATATACTAGATCCTCCCATCAATGAAAAATATTTGACATATAATATAATTCAGTCAAACTTTTCTAATTCTCTACGAGAAAGATATTGTCGTAAGAGTGAAGCCGTTAATTATTTGAGTTAAGCCATTAATTATTTATGATTGAAACGAGTACTAATTGATAATCTCAATGGCGTATTTGAAACATAATATTTTTTAAATAAAAATAGTTTGTTTCCTTTGAATTTTCATAAGAAATAAACCCCATTTGAAAGGCCTAAAAACATAGGGAACATTGTTATGGATGTGCATATATGGAGTAGACGTGTAAACCTTTCGGGTCTTGACACAGAGGAGAAACTGTTGACGAATCCAGTCAACATCGTCAACCCTGCTCTGTTCTTGCCCCTGCCACAAAGCACAAATACCACGTCATCCATAAAAATCTCGTCTTCATTCCTTCCTCCACCCCAAAAACGCCGTTGACTTTTTTTTAAAATGTTTGACCGTTCATCTTATTCAAAAATTTAAGTAATTATTAATTCTTTTCCTATTATTTGATTTATTGTTAAATATACTTTTATGTATACATATAGTTTTACATATTTCACAAAAGTTTTTGAATAAGACGAATGGTTAAACATGTTTTAAAAAGTCAACGGCGTCAAACATCTAGGGAAGGAGGGAGTATTTTTTCTTAATGATCCTTACCGCCTGCCACTGACTTATATACCATCACCATCCCAAAATAGTCGAATTATTGTAAAACAAATGGAGTACGTAGACTTTTCTACACTACAAAGGCACTTAAAAAATAGTATTGCGATATTTGGTGAGCGATACATCTCATGATTAATCGCAATATATGTTAACTCGACATGATAAAGGAAGAGCTATAGGCGTTATTTGGAGAGCTTAAAATTTTAAGAATCCGCTAGTTGATAGCCAGCTTATGAAAATATGGCCGGAAAGCTGAGTTTTTAAGTTTCTGTTTTTTAATTCATTTTCTAAATTCTATAACTACAAATTCTTAGAATTTAGGTGACAAACTATATTGTTTGGAAGAGCCAGAGATTCCACGAGAAACTGTAACTGATAGAAACTCTTTCCGACAGGCACATAAGAAGAGATAGTGTAGTGTGTAGTGGGCAGAGTCCATGAAGGTCTGCATTCGAATGAACCGCCGAATACATTTAGCCTCTTCTCAATACATATGAATATGAAAAGCCCCTCTTTTCATATCCAAATTATTTCTAAAATGAAATACAGAGTGAGGAGAAAGAATGCACAGTACCTCTGAACGAGGTGAATGGCGCTGTACATCCTGCCTTGCTCTTCAGCTGCCCTCCTCAAACCTCAAGTATTCAGGTGTGGTGTGCTTCTCCTTGACCGATCAGTGGTGGCTGAGGTCCTTAAAAAGGGACAGACATCTCCCCACGTTTCTCATGAAGGAACAGGGATAAGTGGCCCTTATCAATGTTGGTAGTATGGGCATTGGGCCCTGTTCTAGAAGGAATTGTTTGCTTGGTGGCTGGCACACACCTACTGGATCTATCAGCAGTGGCGTAGCTAGAATTTATAGGTAGGATACTCCACTTCAACATAAAGGAGATGGAGAAGAGAATTTATGGTCTACTTTGGAGGATTCTAACCCTCCACTTGAGCTAGTTTTCATAGCAATTAATACACTATCACACGAAGAAAAAAATGCAAGCCAACTCTACATATAGCAACTAAGAATAAAAACGATGAGAAATATGGATGAAAGGAGAGATAAAAACGATGAGAAATGTGGATGAAAGAAGAGAGAAGAGATGTAATTGAATAATAATTTATTTTAAAGAAAACACCTATTAGATACATAAATTTCTATAGATGATTTTTATGACATGTCAAGTATAAAAACTAATTGATAGTTTCTGGATTAAGATTATCCTTATTTCCCTATTACCAAATCTAAACAACAAACTGGTAATCAATACACAAACTCTGAATTATTATTCCAATAAAACAAAGTCCACATGGAAGTCAAATTTTCGGATTTTCTGAACTCAAGCATGCGCGAAGTTGAGGCGCTTGCCGACGGTGAACCCGCCATCGACGACGAGGTTATGCCCAGTGATGTACTTGGCCTCGTCGGAGGCGAGGTACACCGCCGCCCTCGCGATGTCCTCCGCCTCCAGCTTTGCGCCCTCCAGCTCGTTCATGTCCTCCTCGATGACCCGCTTCAATCTCTCGGCGTCCGCCCACGCCAGCACGTCGCCGAACCCGCGCATCGCCAGCGGCGTCGCGATGCCGTGCGGCGAGATGGCGTTCAGCCGCACGCCGTGGCGCGCCAGCTCGCCGGCGGCGGACCTCACCACGCCGATGGCTGCCGCCTTGGAGACGCTGTACGCGTGGGGGACATCGCTGCCGATCACGCCCGCCACGCTGGCCGTGCAGAGGATGGAGCCGGCGCGCCGTGGCGCCATCACGCGCGCCGCGTGCTTGATGCCGGCGAGCACCGCCCGGGCGTTCACCGCCATGACGCGGTCGAAGTCGGCGAGGTCTAGGGAGGCGAGGGGCCCCACGTAGGAGCACGTGACCCCGGCGTTGTTGTGCAGGACGTCGAGGCGGCCGTGGCACGCCACGGCGAGGTCCACGGCCGCCGCGATCTGCGCCTCGTCGGTGACATCGCAGCGGGTGTAGGCCGCATCTGGGCCGAGCTCGGCGGCGACGGCGTGGCCGAGATCGTCTTGTACGTCGGCGATGATGACTTTGGCGCCATTGCGGATGAACTCCTTGGCCGTCGCCTCGCCGATGCCGCTTGCGCCGCCGGTGATCACGGCCACCTTTCCAGCCAACCTACACCGAGGTAATCCGTGTATTAATTTCAAGCTCACATAAGCTGAGAAAAAATAAGTGTTTGATGTAAGCATTTGAGTTCTTTCAAAGTATTCATAGCATAAATCTTGGAGCAACTTTATACTAGCTCCTCCCATCCATGAAAAATATTTGACTTTTAGAACTAGATTCAGTCAAACTTTTCTAATTCTCTATGAGAAAGATCTTATCGTAAGAGTTAAGCCGTTAATTACTTATGATTGAAACGAGTACTAATTGACAATCTCAATGGTGTATTTGGAACATAATTCTTTTTCTCATAAAAATTAGTTTGTTTCCTTTGAATTTCCATAAGAAATAAACCCCATTTGAAAGGCCTAAAAACATAGGGAACATTGTTATGGATGTGCATATATGAAGTAGACTTGTAAACCTTTCGGGTCTTGACACGGAAGAGAAGCGGTTGACGAATCCAGTCAACATCGTCAACCCTGCTCTGCTCTTGCCCCTGGCACAAAGCACAAATAAAATCTCGTCTTCATTTTTTTTCAAAAAAAAAAGATCCTTACCGCCTGCCACTAACTTATATACCATCTCAATCCTAAAATAGTCAAATTATTTTGACACAAATAAAGTATACTTTTCTACACTTTAGTATCTATATTTAGACACTAATTTAGAGTATTAAATATAGATTATTTACAAAACTAATTACATAAATAAAAACTCATTTGCGAGACAAATTTTTTAAGCCTAATAAATTCATAATTAGAGAATGTTTACTGTAGCATCACATAGGCTAATCATTAATTATGCTCAATAGATTCGTCTCGCGAATTAGTCCAAGATTATAGATGGGTTTTATTAATAATCTACGTTTAATATTTATAATTAGTGTCCAAACATCCGATGTGATAGGGATTTAAAAGTTTTAGTTCCATTTAAACAGGGTCTAAAAAGACACTTAAAAAATAGTATTGCGATCTTTCGTGAGCAACACATCTCATGATTAATCGCAATACACGTTAACTCTACATGACAAGGAAAGAACTATAAGAAAGAAAAGATAGTGTAGTGGGCAGAGTCCATGAAGGTCTGCATTCGAATGAGCCGCCGAACGCATTTAACCTCTTCTCAATACATATCAATATGAAATGCCCCTCTTTTCATATCCAAAATATTTTCTAAAATGAAATACAGAGTGAGGAGAAAGAATGCACAGTACCTCTGAACGAGGTGAAGGGCGCTGTACATCCTGCCTTGCTCTTCAGCTGCCCTCCTCAAACCTCAAGTATTCAGGTGTGGTGTGCTTCTCCTTGACCGATCAGTGGTGGCTGAGGTCCTTAAAAAGGGAGAGATATCTCCCCACGTTTCTCATGAAGGAAACAGGATTCGTGGCCCTTATCAATGGTGGTATGTATGGGCCCTGTTCTAGAAGGCATTGTTTGCTTGTTGGCTGGCTCAGCTCGCACCTACTCGATCTTCCAGTCAGCTGAAATGCTGAATGACTGACCATACTTCATTCAGACTTGCATATGTATCACATGGTAATCCTAAGAGATGGGGCAGTGTAGAGGGAACCAGATCATCTGACGCACAAGGTTCTACGTCATAGCGAAGTAGAACGCAGAATCGCCGTTTCTTCCAGCATCTGACGACAGCGCCCATTTTCCGGTCTCCAGTCCTCGTTCAATCAGGCCCAGAAGCACGGTAGCTCGGCATGGTTGCGGAGATGGCGCCGGGAGAAAGAAAACGACGTTGGCCATGGCTTCAGGTCGTTGGGCTAGCTGTGTACACCTTGACAAGCTGTAGAAGTCGGGTTTAATATAACCCATTATCTTAAAAAAAAAAAGGCTACCGGTCGCTTACTGTGTGAGTATGCTACCCGAATTACTGAATAGTGCGATCTAAATAAGACGTTTCTTTAAAAATTTCAAATAAATTCATTTTTAAGTTTGTAATAGCTAATGCTTAATCAATCATGCGATAATGACTCTCCTCGTTTTTCATGCCAACATAAGCTCAGGTTGTTTGGCTCTCTTGAAGACAGCCTTAGGTTGCCTTAGTTTGAATGACACGCGAGAAAGTCTCTCATTTTCAACGTGCGTGTTTCCCGAACTACTAAATGGTATGTGTTTTTACAATAAATTTCTATATAAAAATTACTTTAATGATCATAGTAATATATTTTTCAAACTTAAAATAATTATTACTCAATTAATCATGTGCTAATGGCTTATCTCATTTTATACACCTTCTCCTTCTCTTTTTCCCTCCTCTCAAATACAACCTTAGCCCCTTTATTAGCTTATCTACTGCAGCAAAAACTAATTTGTTTTCTCTACAACTCCCTCCGTCTCAGAAAAAACGACTCCTAGGATTAAATCTGGATAGTGTATATCCAGATTCAAACCTAGGAGCAGATTTAAATCTAAGAGTGGGTTTTTCTTTTTTTTGGATGGGGATGCACTTTTTGTGTGTACCTAGCCAATCCAGTACTTTCTTCTCCATCCATTACCTAGCCAATCTCTAATTATACGAGCCTATCACTTGGTTTATTCTGAATCCATCCACCACGTACCCAAACTCCAATTATATGGGTATGGTCCCACGCATATTACTAGTGGAATTAAACCCCTCAAATAACTAATCTAAAATTCACTCCTATAAAAACTCATGATCTTAAGATGCTACTCAGATCATTGTAACCACTAGGCTACATGCGATTTGGTAGATCCGGTTGGATATAGAGGCCGGATAAAAAATAACCTTATAAAAAATAATAAAAAAAGGGCGATCTCTCCCCCACGCATGATGAAAACAACAAGAATACTGTTTGTTTGTTTTTTTGGTTGCATTTGCATGACCTGATGATGGTCCTCATCAACGGTGTCACGTCCGTCGGCATCATCCCCTCTCTGCTCTAACTGGCCACTGTTGTTGAAATGGAAATGTTTTACCTACCGATCATCAAATATTCAAATGTTAGGTTCGATTTCTCTGCTAAACAAAAATTGTAGGCCATGTTTGGATAATAGGAGGGGAAATCTTATCCCACCTTCCCACCTTCTAGAAGGGTAACTTTTAATCCTAGCCGTTCATTCTTCATATCTCGTTTCATCTCAACCCTCCACTCATATCCCTATCCCAATCCCCCCCCCTAAACCCATTATCCAAACATAGCTACAGTAAATTTGAATCCATGGCAGTGAATTTGTAGGGCGCGAGGGTCCGATTGCTGGATCGCGCTGTGAGTTTCATCTCTATTTATTTTCATTTCTAAGTTGATATGAATACTTGTAGGATAGAGGGATTAGTGGCTGTGATAACTGAAAATTCGCATCTATCTCATTTCGGCAAAATTCACTGTTTGCGGTTAGCTCAAACGTTAGCTTCCTTGTTGCTGTGGCTTTTGACAAATTGTGCAGGCAAGCAGAGCCAAAATGCCCTTCAAATTACTGTATGCTGCACAGAACAATCAGATACACTTTCCAGATCAGCAGTAAAACAACTACATTCTTTTTCAGTATTCTGTTGCAATGGCCGCACAGCTGAGTAACCAATGGTCTTGTTTCTGACGTTATGTAGATAAAGCAGGTTTAGGACTTCAGGTATAGATCACATGCCTATTTTTCTTTGGAAATTACGAGCATGCAGCATGATTGCTCCCTGTTTTATACGTTTAGAAATCAATTCAGTATGTGTCACCCTGGAAATTCAGCACACCGGAATTCCATACATAATGTGCATTAATCCATTCAGTATGTGACTGTACATATCTAAAAGAAGAGAAATCAATTCAGTAAGCTTAAGGTGAATGAGAAGCTCTCTTGTCGACCAAACAATGCAGTGCGCATGTTCTACATGGCATGTGGATTCAAATCAACTTTACAGAATGATCATACCTTTGTGTTTCTGTTCTGTATGGGTAAACATGGAATTATGTAAACTCCAGTTCCAAACTCTTCCCTATTTTATTTTACTCTTTAATAAGGTGATTAGACCTTACATTGGGGAAACTCAGAAGTCAGAAATGAGTGATTAAATGTTTTGTCTTTAAATTGGGTAGCTCTAATATATGTGATTTACTGTTTAGAATTTACATTGGGGAAACTGCTATATACTCCCTCCTTCTCTAAATGTTTGACGCCGTTGACTTTTTTAAATATGTTTGACCGTTCGTCTTATTCAAAAACTTTTGTGAAATGTGTAAAACTATATGTATATATAAAAGTATATTTAACAATAAATCAAATGATAAAAAAAGAATTAATAATTACTTAAATTTTTTGAATAAGACGAATGGTCAAATATTTTTAAAAAAGTCAACGGTGTCAAATATTTTGGGATGGAGGGAGTACGTGAGCGAGTGGTTAGGCTTTTAGAGCAGGTGCAATAGATGCTTCAAGCTAGCGATAGCTGTCCACTGTGGCTTAAAAAGCTGAGTTAAAAGCAAAAGTTAAAGAGAGAGAGATTCAACCGGCGACTAAATTATCGTCAACTCCTCACGAGCTCCAAGATACTGCAAAGGTTCAGTGATTGGCTAGCAAATAGATGAGCATCAGTTAGCCTTGTTATATGCAAATGAAGAACATGCAATGCAATAAATAAAATGAAAAATAATATTCAGAAATCTGTTCACTTCAGTTTATTATTGTATCATGCGTCTCAAACTATGGCCGTAGATGATATGGAAATTTTTGGAGCCATTAACTGGCTATATTATTGACCTTGCTGTTACAGTGGGGAAACTCTTATACATGTGATTAAATGTTTAGACTTTACAGGTCATCATGTGGTATATGTTAGTGTGCAGCTAATTTAGTCTTATGTGGACGTACGTTAACTAAAAGTTTGACCACTTGGGTGTCCTATCAACATGTTCTTGCTAGTCTTTGTCTAGAATCTAATGCTTCTATATGTGTCCCAAATTTTTTGCTTAATGTTTATATTCTACAAAATGCTGTGTTGTAGTAGTTGTGGACATGCTTTTGCATGTCACTACTTCCATCCCAAAATGTTTAACGCCGTTGACTTTTTTAAAAATGTTTGACCGTTCGTCTTATTCAAAAAATTTAAGTAATTGTTAATTCTTTTTCTATCATTTGATTTATTGTTAAATATACTTTTATGTATACATATAGTTTTACACATATCACAAAAGTTTTTGAATAAAACGAACAGTCAAACATGTTTAAAAAAGTCAACGGTGTCAAACATTTGGGGAAGGAGGGAGTATATAATTTTAGTCAATGACTATATTTGGTCTTTTGGATGAAGGTAGTTGATGGAGCACATCTCCCACCGCAATTTGCAAAAGAAATAAGGCCTTGATTGCTACCCGGAGATATTATTTTATATCCTTTTTATCCCTCAAAATTCTTCCACTCCAGGTCAGTGATTGCAATTTCGGCCCCTTCCGGCTAAACCCCCCATTTTGAAAATGCAACCCCAGGTACATACACTCTAGTGCGATAGTAAGCTGGATTTTGTCGAGGATTAGTGGTCTGCATTTTTTGCTTAGGAAATTGGTCAGACGATTAGTATGGCATTATAATTCGTATCTACTCCGTAGTATATATTTTGGTCATCGCACTTATAATTAGATTCGGTATTGTTATTCATTTTATGTCATTCTAGCATTTCTCACATTTATATTGATGTTAATAAATCTAGACATATATTCCTTCCATCATAAAATATTTGACGCCGTTGACTTTTAAAAAAATATTTGACCGTTTGTCTTATTCAAAAAATTTAAGTAATTATTAATTCTTTTCCTATCATTTGATTTATTGTTAAGTATACTTTTACGTATACATATAGTTTTACACATTTCACAAAAGTTTTTGAATAAGACGAACGGTCAAACATGTTTAAAAAAGTCAACGGCGTCAAACATTTAGGGAAGGAGGGAGTATTTAACATCAATATGAATATGAGAAATGCTAAAATGACTTATATTGTGAAACAGAGGGAGTAGATGTTAAATATGTGGGCTTGTCCTTATTCGAAAAAAAATATGTGGACTTGTAGCTTAGCCTTAGGCTGTGTTCTTCCCTCGAGGATCCCAACCTTACCTCGCTCATTTACACAGACATGCTTCTCAAACTATTAAATGGTACATTTTTTTTAAAGAAAAAAATCTTTTAAGCTAATACTTAATTAATCATACGTTAATTCGTCGCTTCGTTTTACTTGCGAAGTTCCAATAGAACACAGCCTTATTTGGGAGCGAAAAGTAAATTTGGGGAGTCTATATTTCACGGTACAAAGTAGACTCTCTTCCTTATTCGTTCTTTTTTTTTTTTTTGCATCCTGCAATTTTTCTTGTCTTGTTGCACTGCTCTTGATCACTGTCTACTCCTTGGGGATTTTGAGCAGCTTCCCCACCGTGAAGCCGCCGTCGACGACGAGGTTATGGCCGTTGATGTACCTGGCCTCGTCGGACGCCAGGAAGACGGCCGCCCTCGCCACGTCCTCGGGGTCGATCAACGGGCCAGCTTCCATCTGCTCCATGGACGCCGCCATGGCGTTCTTGAGCTCCTCGAAGCTCATCCCGGGGTAGGCCTCAAGGACCTGCACCATGGACAGCGGCGTCGCGACGCCGCACGGCGAGACGGCGTTCGCCCGCACGCCGTGGCGCGCCAGCTCCCCGGCCACGGCGCGCACCACGCCCAGCACGGCCGCCTTCGACACGCCGTACGACGTCGGCCCCGTGCCGCCCACCACGCCCGACACGCTCCCCGTGAAGAGGACGCACCCGCTCCGGCGCGGCACCATGGCGCGCGCCGCGTGCTTGGCGGCGGCGACGGCGGCGCGGGCGTTCACGGCCATGACGCGGTCGAACTCGCCCAGGTCCAGGGAGGCGAGCGGCGCCGGCGCGATGGAGCCCAGGACGCCGGCGTTGCTGTAGAACACGTCGAGCGCCCCGTGGCGCGCCACGGCGAGGTCCACCGCCGCGGCGACCTGCGCCTCGTCCGTGACGTCGCACCGCGTGTACGTCGCGCCAGGGCCGAGCTCGGCGGCGACGGCGCGGCCGAGGTCGTCCTGGACGTCGGCGAGTATAACCTTGGCGCCATTGCCGATGAACTCCTTCGCCGACGCCTTGCCGATGCCGCTGGCGGCGCCGGTGATGACGGCCACCTTCCCGGCCAACCTGCATCGAATCGATCACCATGATCCACACACATGAACACAAAATGATCAGAAAATAATGAAAGAAATTAACCTCTGCGAGTTCGCCGCAGTGGAGAATTGGTGTAGTAAACCCGACGATCTCTTCACCCTAACGCAAACAGAAAACCAAATCATCTTTACAGCTTAGTGAGCAATCAAGAACAGACATGAACTCTGCTCTAATAAGGTGATCAAACCTGAGAACGAGCTGCATTGTTCTCTGCATCATAAGGTCCTCCTGATCCGATAATGGTCAATTCAGCATTCTAGAGTGTATTTATGCTCTGAAACTGAGCATCTCTCGCTGTGGACTTTGAGCTAATCTTTCTTTTCGAACGGCCAAACAGGTTGCTCGACGTTATACTAATAGAAGGGATTTAAGTACACAATAAAAGCTGAAAGAAAATGAAAAACTGTACATTTCTAATTGCAAACATACTTACACGTCATGATTGCAAACATACACGTCAGTCCAACTTTCACCTTATCTCAACAATATTATAATGTGCTTTGCGCCGGCCAAACTCCAACAACCCAATTCGTCCTGAATTCGATTAATTATTTGATGGGTTGTCGCCTCTTTTACTCCGAAGAACCTTTCGTCAATTTTCATACATGGCGGTGACACGTAAGACACATGCAACACTATTGCTTGTATTAGTTCTCTCTCTCTTTCGTTGACATCAAAGTAGCAATGACTCAAAGTTGCTTAGTTCTTTTTCCAGGCGGCTAAGCAGATCGCTGTCAGTTGTGTAGTTTATACATCACCATGTTCAGTTGGTCACAAGGTTATGGTTTTTTTGTTTGTTTGTATTTATGGGTTCAGTGTAGTCAGGATATTATTGTCCTGTAATCTAGAAATATGGCCACAAGGCACATACTGCACAACATCCTCTCCAATCTGGAAGACGTAAAATAGGTGTATGGTTTGTTTTAGATCAGGTTAAATCGGATTTTTATTTATTTATTTATTGCCCTCACAAAGTGGACGGCAAACTGAGTTGGGGGCTCATAAAAACATAGCGATTTATTAGTGCATAATTAATTAAGTATTAGCTATATATTATAAAAATGGGATTAATATGAATTTTTAAAGCAATTTTTCTATATAAATTTTTTTTAGAAAAACACACCGTTTTGCAGTTTGGGAAGTGTGCGTGTGAAAAACGAGTACAGTGAAGTTGGAAACACTAAGTAAAGAACACAGACCAAAATTTCAGACGTGTTCAAGTTCAACCTGATTACGAACTGTTGGTTAATTTTCCTTGCTCGCCGAATGCCATGTATTTGAGAGTAGTGGGTTCTACTTGGGCCTCATGCTTGATCGGGCCTACTTATGTTCTGAATGAGGCCCGTGCGGCGAGGCGCCATGGCGCGCGCGGCGTGCTAGCTTGACGGCGGCGGCGAGCGCCGCCCTGGTAGCCTCCCGGCGATGCCGGCGTTGTTGTGGAACACGTCGAGGTGGCCGTGCCGCTTAACGGCGAGGCCCACGGCCGCGGCGACCTGCGCCTCGTCGGCGACGTCGCAGCGCGTGTACGCGGCGTCCGGGCCGAGCTCCGCCGCCACCGAGTGGCCGAGGTCGTCCTGGATGTCGGCGATGATGACCTTGGCGCCGTTCTTGATGAACTCCGTGGCCGTCCCCTTGCCGATGCCGCTGGCGCCGCCGGTGATGACGGCCACCTTGCCGGCCAACCTCTGGGAGTCGGAGGCCGCGGAGAAGAAGCCACTAACGACTAAATTTGCAGGAGAAGTCGATTTTTGCCCAATTACACTGATCATATATATATATATATATATATATATATACACACACACACACACTATACTACAGACAACGCACCCACCCCCCACCCCCACCCCCACCCCACCCCCTACCCCCAACCAACCTGGTGCCACACAGTTTGACAAATGTTAAACATTGCAAGGTTCCTTCGGACAAGCTACGGGCGCAAATACTACACCACCTAATCTTCAACAGGTTCAACTCTGTACAAGAGCTCCATCAGGACATCGAGACATTTCGTGTACCCGACAATGCCCAATAATTATGTTTAATATGAAGAAACGTTTCATTAGCTGTTAGCTTCACTTTTGCCCCTGGATTGTATTTCGTATTTTATACAGTCCACTCCTCCGGAACTTTAGTATTTTGCATCGCCTGGTTGTGCTGTTAGTTAAGTAAAGGGCTATTGTCCATGTTTTTCCAGAACATAATACTATGCTTATTAATATTTTGTCTCCATAATCTTTGAAAAAACTGCTTAAATGTGATCTATTGTAGTAATGAAGGCAGTTAGTATAAAAAATGCTAGATAGTCTTATTGCTGCCACCTTCATTAATTCAATGCAATGTTAGCCGATATGCAAATTCTTTACCAATGTTATTTCTTATATGGCAACATTCTGTAATAAAATTTCATACTGCTAATCTAATAACTAATCGACTAATTTTAGAATGCAAAGTAATTATTCAAAAAGTGCGTTCAAACAATGCCATGAATTAAAAATGCATACTCAATGGGAGTCCAAGGTCATTAACCTAATTAAATAATAATCTCCCCAGCTTATAAGTATATTTATTACTAACAGACAGAACAACTAAATAGTAATCAATTTACTACCCTCTTGTCTGTTATTTTTAAGTTCCACACTACATGATCGGAATTTCAATTTCATAATGATCGTTGCCTGAAAAAAACACAACTCTCTCGTAATATATGAGTAATTGTTTTACTAAGCGATAAAACAATTCCATTCAGTGCCAGTAAAGAAATTAAAAAAACGCAGCAATCCGGGCTATGCCATATCTAACAACATAGAAATAAATATACCAAAACCTTTATTAACGTAATGTTTCTATGATAAGGACATCTACAAAGCACAAAATGAAACTCGAGAAAACCCAATCGAAACAAACCCCTCAGTACATTCATTCTGAAAGATCCTCGGTGTCGCCACCACTTTGCACGCTACAGTCATCATCACCCTCCTCGCTTCTCATGCTACACTCCCCTCCCACAGGCCCTTCAGCCCATTCGTCAATCAGGTTCCTTCTCACAGCTTTCCGTCCACGACCACCTCCAACGCCACTTCCTCTTGGGCGACCTCTCTTACGTTTTCCCTTGTTGTTGGCCTCCGCAATACGCTTGAAATTAGCTGGATTATTAGGACATGTAGAGCTATTGTGACCAACTTTCAGACCACACCACCCGCACCCCCTGGTGCATTTCTTATCGCCACGAGCCCCTAGCTTAACCTTCTCGGTAGGCTCGCTTGCCCTTCCCTTTGTCATTGACCGAGGAGGAGGGCGTCTGCTCACTCTTTCACAATCATGTTCACTCATTGACATCGATTGTCCAGCCCGCATGGTATCGGCCACACTTTCCGCGTCTTTACCACTTGTCACTGCATTGCCAACCCCAACATCTGAATCTGGTGGTATCTCTTCAAGTTGCTTCCTCAGTCCCTTCAGCACAGCAGTTGCCCTATCAAAAGCTACCTTTGACCTCCGCCCCAACTTGACGATCTGCATGGCATCATATGACAACAACTTTGTTCTGTAGGATTCTTTAACACCGTCTGGTCCAGCCATAGGACGGTCACGACGATCATAGTTCACATCACTTTTAGCTTGCTTTGTGTATCGACGAAGAACATACATATGTGGAATTTTCTCAACCTGCGCATGAACAAAGGCTCGCAACAGATGGGGGCAGAACATTCCTGCAAAATAAACACGGAAATTTTTAAAACCAGGTTTTCAAAACATTTATGCTATATCACCAGGGATATTTTACCTGTATGTTCCCACTGCAGGCATTCACAACTAAAGTTCCCGTTATCAACATCCACTATCACCTTGAACTGTCTTTGGCACCAGTCATGCTTCTCCGAGCGTTTGGTATGAGAAATAACCCAATGAATGCCATCCGATCCCTCTAGTTCAATCCTAAAATACACACTATCATGTAGGGAATCCTCAAACACCTTGAACACAGCCCGAGTGTACACCCTAGATAACTGCTCCGCAAATGGCCAAGGGGTCTTCACAATGGGTACACCCTATAACATCATCGATATAAGCATTTACCAGATTAAATCCTAAAAAAAGGATATACATTAAGATGCAATTACCTCACAACCTCGGGTCTCCGCGGACTCCTTATCCTTCCTAGATACCACAACATCGAGCATCCTTCTGGCAAACCTATGTAGTGCAGTTTGATGATCTACAAAATTACTTTTAACCATTCTGTTAAAGCTTTCACTCCTCTGTGTGGAAGTCATACGACCACAGTAATGTTTCTTGAAAAAAGCTGGAACCCATCTTTCCCTAAGATCATACAGGTTGCGTAGTGTCACGCTGTCACGTAGTTCATATTTATCAATGAAACGATCCCATGCATTCTCAAACTCCGTAGGAGTATATGTCTGGTTAATGCAAACCATCATCTCCCCCTCTATGTCATCGTTTCTAGAAAAAATTGTGTTCAGATGGTCCGAGTGCCCATCTATAATGTGCCACATGCACAACCTATGGATAGCTTCAGGAAAAACGCGTTCAACCGCCACTGCCATTGCTTGGTCTTGGTCTGACAAAATCGACAAATACAATATGAGTAGTCATGTTGATTTATCAATAATCCCTTTTATTTGTTTTTCAAAAAGTGAACAATAAATACCTGTCAGAATGCACCGGGGTGAAGGGCTGTCCCCCATACAATTCTTGAACGTTTCGAATAGCCATTGGAATGACTCAGCCCTTTCATCCCGAATCAACGCACACCCAAAAAGTGTTGACTGCAGGTGATGATTAGCCCCAACAAACATGGCCAAAGGCATCTCATAAATGTTAGTTTTGTATGTGGTGTCGAAAGTAATAGCATCTCCAAAATCTCCATAGTTTGCCTGCATACTCGCGTGGCTCCAAAAAAACATTCTTAACAATCCCTTCCTCATCAACCTTTATATCCCAGTAGAACTTTGGATTTTCTTTCTTGCATTCTTTGAAAAACTCTAGCAGCTTGCTAATGTCATCTGCATTCTCTGCTCGAACATTAGCAGCTTTCCTGCACATATAGCGAGATTAGATAACTATACTTGCTGCTGTTGGGAACAACGGGATTTAGAAAACAATATTTGTTTTAACACAAAATACCTATTTTCAAGGTCTCGTGTCGTGAAAGGAATATTCTCACGTCCTCCGTGCATATCAGAAAGTACTCCTACAATACTTGAATTGGGGACACGGCTTTGCTGCATCGTGTCAACGAACTCCATCAGTGTTTCATCTCGATGCTTGTGCGAACGCATCAGCTTAACAGCCGATGGAGACGACGTCAATGGGTGATTGTGTTCGATTATGACATCATCAAACCGTACGGAAACAAACTCGCCTTCTCTAATAACATTCTTCACCTTCACATATGCCTTACAACCAATCCTAGCAGACCCACGCATCCGCTCACGCTTTGATTCATCTCCCCTATATTTGTTCTTCCCCTCCCGGGTGCAGCATATCTCTCTAAAAGTAGGTTTATTCCTGCTTTTTTTAATATCAAAACCAGCATGATATGAATATCTTTCGTAGAAATCGTACGCCTCTTCGTACGAATCAAAAACCATCCCTACTTTTGGTACCATTTCTTCTCTAAGTTTGGAGTCCTGTCAACAATTATTTTTCAATCTGTCAACATGACGATATGGGATATCATATTGACACAGAAAAAAATTCATTTACAGACGCCATAATTTACTAAAGTAATTAAATGGAATAAATCGCAAAACAACGCCAACTACCGTGTCAAACATCACTCAGCAATTAAGGAAGAAACAGAAGTTCTAATTATTGCAAAGGTCGTTCAGGGAAACTTACATGTCTGTACACACGATCCTTCTCAGGCGTATTCATCTCACATGCCTGAACACAAGGAGGTCGATCCACACCTTCATGGGATCCTGACGGTGTTGACGGACTGCCTGGATGCCCGGCATTCACATGATGATCCCCCCAATGATCACCGCCAACACCTAAACGGGACGATGGCGAGGTAGTGGAAGTATGCACTGGAGATTCCATTACACAGGTCTCCAGCGAAGCTTTTTCACTCGACTTTGAAAGCCCACTGTGAGGAATAAACACACTACCTCCTCAGCATTGTATGGAATGCGTTTTTTCCGGATCGGGAGTCCACTGATCCATAACTACCTCCCTACATTCCCATATTTTTTTTTATAAAAGTAACATTTAAAATAACCTTAGAAATTACAGCGCACAATGCACTGTCAAAGCTTCCAGAAACAGTAATTTTAACGTCCAGTAAAAATTTTACTACCGACTCAATTAATATATTAAAAAACCATAAGTAAATAAGGGCAAAAATCATCGCTGTGCACTAATTAAATCAATAGTAAATTGTTTGCTAACTGAAAAAATGAGGTTCTTATCGTAAGATAATTACTAAATTGCACGTAACTTTTCCCTCCATGATGACAGTGCGATCGAGGATGAGATTCTGCAAGCATCTATCAACAATAGTACATTTTTTGCTAACGATATATTCATATAGTCATAGTAAATGAGTTACTAAGTCAAACCTTCAGAGGTTACAGGTGTGACACACGCGTTACTCGGCTCGTTATTGTGGAAGCAAACCAAATAATCCTCAGTAACTCCATTACTGATAGACCAAACATCATAATCAAGTAACTACTTTACTCACACAAACTAAAAATCTTTCTCGGTTGGTTAATTAGTGCAGAATCAAACCAAAGAATCATCAGTAACTCATTTACTGACAGATCAGAACAACATAATTAAGTAACTACTTTACTCACAGAAACTAAAGATATTGCTAGTAATATTGTTACTAACAATCCAATCTTGACTTTGTGCGGCCTGTGTGCGACGACTGGGAGGGGGTGGGCTGCGGGGGGTGGTGGGTGGCGGGTGGGGAGTGCGGATGGTTGCACCATCAAATTTCTACGTATAGTAACTAATTTACTTATAGTGTAATGTGCCTTTTTCTAAGTTTTAGTAATAACTTTACTACACTTTATTTTGAAAAGGTGCAGGGGATTGGTGGGTGGGTGGGGGGAGGGGGGACGGGGTGGGGGTGGGGTTGGGGGAGGGGGTGCTGTGAGGGGAGTAGTTTAGTTATTACTCACCCCATACGCGGTTTAGCGCGTCCCTATATACATATATATATATATACATATATATATATATGTATATGTATATGTATATATATGTGTATATATATATGTATATATATATATATGTATATATATATATCTATATATGTATGTATATATATATATATATGTATATATATATATGTATATATATATATGTATATATATATATACACATATATAGGACACTCACCATGGAGCACCAAACAAATTTACTATATATATATACATATATATATATATATATATATATATATATATATATATATATATATATATATATATATATATATACATACATATATGTATATGTATATACATATATATATATATACACACACACACATACATACATACATACATACATACATACATACATACATACATACATACATACATACATACATACATACATACATACATACATACATACATACATACATACATACATACATATATATATATATATATATATATATATATATATATATATATATATAGTAAATTTGTTTGGTGCTCCATGGTGCCCGGGCACTATTGTTGAAATTGAGTATATACCCAATTCAAATGAGTATGAAACTTTTTCAATTACTTAGGTATTAACATTAACTACTTTACTAACTAGTTTAAAGCAAGTTTGAACTGAATTTGAACTTGTTTTTGTTAGATTTTGATTCTAGGTATATAGTATCCATACATATAATTAGTTAGGTATGTAATTATGGATTGTGAAATAAAGTTAAATTTGAGTTGTTTTGTTGATAAGTATAGGTATGAATCAAATTATTATAACTAGGTATATACTCACAATTTGAAAATTTTGAAAAATTTGAGTGATTTTGTGCATTAGATACCATGGTGCCCGGGCACCATGGTGCCCCTGACGGAGCTCGTGGCCCCTCACCGGGAGACTGCGCAAGCCCCCCTTTGCCGGTTCGACCAGGGGCTTAGGGTGCAATCCCAAGCTCTCTCTCTCTCTCTGTATGTGGAAAGATCACCCGCCCGCAAGACACACGAGACACGGCGATGGATACAGGTTCGGGCCGCTGCGAAGCGTAATACCCTACTCCTGTGTTTTTGTGGATTTGTGTATGGACAAGTTACAAAGGATTAACTTCCTTTCCCCTCCGCCTTCCAAAAGGGAAAAAGTCCCCCCTCTAAATGGGCAAGGTCCTCCTTTTATATCTCAAGGGGATACCACATGCACCTTTCTCTTTCCAAACTGGACTGTTCTTTTTCTCTTTAATGGGCGGAGATCGGTACGGTTTCCATCCGGGAGCCCTTCTGATGGGACAGCCCACACCTACCCCCACCTCCCCCGAAGACAGAGATGACGCGGGACCGTGGCTGTCTGTCGATGACGCGACCAGTGCCAGACCGGTCATTCTTGTCCACCACGCGTCAGCTTATCAACGTGCATGTTTGCCCTTCTTCGTGTAACACCTTGCCTGTAATGGTTAGGATGAAGCCTGGTATAAATCTGACCAGGGCTAACGTGCCATTTCTAAGAGATAACACGCTAGCTCCGGCTTGAGACGAGTGCCTAGAGGCTTTCGTCTTGACGGGATGGGGCAAGGCGTGCGTCAGACCGCCAGTCGCCACCTAACCCGTGATCTGACCGGTCTGTGACTGGTCACAGACCGGATAAAGGAACGCGCTGTACTGCGTTGCATGCAGCGTGACACGCTTGACCAGACTGCAATAAATGCTGTTAGGTGAGCACAGCTGTGCTCACTTATCCCATATATGTGGCGCAGACTTCCTTAAGGGGTCGGGGTGCCTCGGCCCTCGGGGCCGGGGCAAGCGCAACCCGACCCCCCCCTCGGGGGAAATCAGGAGGAGGGCGGACACCTCACCCTCGGGCCCGACGTCCCCGAAGGTGCCAGGCCACGTGGGCGATTGCGTCTGCCTCAAGCCTCTGGTCATGATACTCCCGGTCCCATATCACCGACAGTAGCCCCCGGCGTTATGCCAGAGCAATTTCCCTTCCCAAGGGAAGTGGTCAGGCGTGACGCCACCCCTAAAGCCTAGTGACAGGTGGGACCGGTCTCCGTAGTTGGGCAAAATACCCAACGGTCTCAATCCATGCACATTGGTATTGGTAACTTTGGTTGTCCATAATGGGCGGTCTATTCAAGACTGCCACACCACTTGAGCAGCGCGCGAATCTGGGTGAGCAGATTTGTCTCGCCCGGAGATACGGTAACGCCGCTTCGGTCGGCGAGCGTAATTAACGCGCGCACGATACAATCCATTTCGATTGCCACAACCGCATACCCACTTCATGCGCCGTAAGCGGGCGAATGGGATTAGTGGAAGCGTGGGCACGGGAAACGAGGGAGCGAGATAGCGAGATACGAGGGAGCGAGGTAGTGGGCGCGAGAAACGAGGAGCCAGGCCCAGCGATGGCAAGGGTATAAAAGCATCGAGAAAAGGATTTGCTTCCTTCCTTTCGCCATTGTTCCTCTTGCCTTCGCCGCCTGAGCTCTAACTCTTTCTCTGCTACGCCCTACTTTCGCCACACGCGCTCGTTCTCAATCATCTCTTCCTCCACCGCCATGGCACGGGGCTCTGCTCTGCTCGACGGCAGTGTACTACCGCCTTCCCGCATCGTGAGCGAGAGGCACGCCGGACTGCCGCGCCGCTTCATGCCGGAGCCCGCCACCGGTCGGGAGATAGTGATGCTGGGCGAGGGGCGCCCGGCACCAGACTACCCGGGGCGGTCCATTTTCTTCCTCCCCTTCGCAATGGCTGGGCTGGTCCCGCCATTTTCTTCTTTCTTCATGGATGTCCTGGAGTTCTACGATCTCCAGATGGCGCACCTCACCCCCAATGCGGTGATGACATTGGCCATCTTCGCGCACCTGTGCGAGATGTTCATTGGGGTGCGCCCCTCTCTTCAGCTGTTCCGGTGGTTCTTCACCGTGCAGTCGGTGTCACCGCCGTCGGTGGTTGGCGGCTGCTACTTCCAGCCGCGGGGGCCGGTGTTGAACCGCTACATCCCCTGCGTCCTCCGCAAGAAGTGGGACGACTGGAAGAGCGACTGGTTCTACACCCCCCTCGCCAACGAAGCGCGCCTCCGACTT